GATCAAGAACCGAATCGTCAGCAATCGAAGAAAACCTTGAAACAGACGCAAGTGGACTGGGGGCCGGGCTTACGAGGCCCACTCCTGGACGCCCCCTCGAACAAAATAATAAACAGGAAGCTAATCAGGAAAACACAGAAACACCTCTCCCAGAACCACCAAATAAATCAAAACCTTAGAAACCAACAACCGAGAAGGAGAAAGAATCTGAAGTCCCGCATCCTGTCACAACAAGAAGATCAAATCGCATCCGTGAAAGAACGGAGAAACAAGCAGCACTTGACATCGAAGGGAAAAGAAAGGAAATCCGACAGAAAATATCGGAATTAGGAAACACCTATGACAAGGAGGTATCAGAAATACTAGCCGACAGAGATATGGACGAACAAACCAAGCAACTAGCGATGGAAGCAGCCAATCTAGACCACAAAAAGGACAAATCAAAGCTCCAAAGCCAGTACGACAACTTGGATCCCACCATCCATCGGGTACACCTAGTAACTGTACCTACCACCTTCAATCAAGCAATGAAAAGCGATGATCAACACCTATGGAAGAAGGCAATACAGACGGAAAAAGACGCCCTCAACAAAGCCCATACCTGGGATATTGTCGACAGACCAACCAACCGAGCAGTAGTCGGAGGAAAATGGGTATTCAAGGTAAAACACAACGCGGACGGAACAATCGAAAGATACAAAGCTAGGTACATCACCAAAGGCTTCACCCAAGTGCAGTATCAAGACTATGATGAGACCTTCGCCCCGGTTGCCCGATACGATTCCCTAAGACTCCTACTTGCACTAGCTGCAAACAACGGTTCTACACCAGAACAAATGGGCGTCAAGTCAGCCTTCCTATATGGTATACTTAAGGAGGAAATCTACATGGAACTACCTGAAGGCTACAGGCAGAACCACAAGGTTTGTAAACTTTGTAAATGCATATATGTACTAAAACAATCACCCCGTGAAAGGTACGCTTGCCTAGCAGACTCCCTTCAACGGAAAAGATTTGTCCCAGCCAAATTTGACTCATGTGTCTTCATAAATAAGAAGCACCAACTATAAATATCGGTCCATATTGACGACATCATGATATCCAGACCCGACTCCTCACTCAGAAACGAAATCAGACCACCACAAAAGGCAGATTTCGAATGTACGGATTTCGGTAATGCGAAAGTCCCACTGGGAATAGAAATAACGGGAAAAAGAAATGGTATCACGTTGTCACAACTAGCATACGTCAACAAAATCCTAGACAAAGTTGGAATGAATAACTGCAAACCAGTTGGCACACAACTCGAACCAAATCTGAGCCCTCGGGAAGGAGAACTAGAAGACCAAATCGAGAAACCAACTGAGTATCAATCCATAATTGGATCACTCATGTACGACAGCATAGCAAACAGACCTGATATCACCCATAACGTTACCGCCCTTTCTCAGTACTCCTTATGCCCAACTGAGTACCACCTACAAGCAGCCAAACGAACACTCTGGTACCTCAATGGAACCAAAGACTGGAACCTGTTCTACCCAAAAGGAACCACTAGAACACTTGATGGTTACTCAGACAGTTCCGATGCTTCAGACCTAGATGACAGAAAATCGTTCTCAGGATACGTGTTCAGACTAGGAAAATCAGCTATCAGCTGGAGAAGCCGGAAGCAGAAATCAGTCGCAGTCCCAACAACAGACGCCGAATACATGTCTCTGTCACTTACAGCTCGACAATTGGTATGAATTCGTAATGCCTTATGCGAACTCCAACAACAATACCAATACAACATCCAGGTCGACAAAACAGAGTCTATCGAACTCTGTCGGAACCCACGTATCCATGACCGGTACAAACACATCGACGTTCACTATCACTACACACATGAACAACTCGAAGCCGGAACCTTCAAACTCCTCTATGTCCCAACCGAAGACAATGTTGCAGACATAATAACCAAAGGTCTACCGAAACCAGCTCACCAGAAATTGTCAGAAGTAATACGATGTGGCAAGTGAGGGGAAGTGTAGAAATAGGGGATTGGAACATCGGTTATGTATGGAATTACTCATGTATAAGGGATGACTCATAGAAGGAACAGGGATTCAGACAAGGCTTAGTGTCAGGGATTATTTAATCGGAGGATCGTGTGGTATAAGAATATTTGTATATATAGAGCGTTCAAACGCCCTCATTGTCCCTGGAACCCCAGCAGCGCAATAGTATCTTCTTCGCACTACAACAACACATACTCCCTCAAGGTCACGTGTTCAAACCCCACTCAAGTCATTTTCTCCCACACTCCAAACTTCACAGAGGTCCTGGCGCGAGTGATATTTTACGATTTACTTTAGCGAGCTCACGGGCGGGGGCAAAAAGCAACGATACGGTGATGGTTTTGGAGGTTTGGATGGGCGGGGATGACAGGTTGGGATGGTAGGAAGGCGTCGGCGTGACGAGTTGTGCGGCGTCGCGGCATGGACGCGTATTAAGACGTTGCTCGCGGTAGGTCCAACCGCAACTAGCCTAGCTAGGCAAACCTCTTCCAGCTCAATCATGGACTATCACTTGCCCTACCCACTACATCACCACCACACACCAACCAGAACGCCCTCCCTCACAGTACGCCTCCCACATGTCACATTATGACTTTTTCTCTGACCTCCATATATATGCAAACTTACCTATACAACACATTCTCAACTTCGACACCACCTTACATAATTATAATATATCACTTAACCTTCCTAGCTAATCTACCTACCACACCAACACCAACCTCCACCCGTACCGCTATGGGCAATACCCCTCCATTAGCGACATGACCCCCATAATCAGATAGTTCAGACAGCGACACGTCAGGCAGGTTTCGCGACCTTGCATACAGCCCAACAGCCTTTATCAGCGCGTTTGGCTGCGCAAGTTACAACCACGACCCCAACACCGCCTCAATTCTTGCACGTTGCCCAGCGTTGACCCTTCAGTCCTACCTACTATTAGCCACAACCTCAGACAGCATCCCCCCTACCATCCCCTACTCAACTGCCTCGGACAGCGTCCTCTCAGAAGAGCGCCCTCCCTTTGCATCGTGTGAGGATTACCTAGCAGGGATAGGAGAGGAAGGTCTCTCCTCCTCTCGGAGAATCATCATCAATAAAAATACTACCATCAGTCATTCAAGATCATATCACTTCAAGAAAGCTCACTCGGAGTCTTGGCGCGAGTGATGTCGTGTGTTTGGCTGTAGCAACCCCTGTATGCGATACTTGCTTGTTAGCTAGAGAACGGTGCGATTCTGGGGATTTTAGATTCTTTTCAAGCAAAATTTGTCACTTGAGAGTTCGGTGACCGGCGGAGATTTCTACGGTCAGAGGTTTTTGGGGCGAGTGATGCAGCTCGTGACGGCACTGTGTTGCGGTTAATTAAAAAGAAGGCTGATGCAGATTGTGGGTAGGTTTTTTTCACAGCGGAGATGGTGTTGTGTATGGGGGGTTCCGTTGGAGTTGGTTGGGTTGCCTCATGATTAGGTGTGCGGAACTCCGCTCGAGGATCTACTGGTATATATATACAGTACGATGCCAGACGTGAGCGTCAGGCGCGGCGTCGCAACGCCCCCCGAACCATCACGGGTACCAGCACAGCAACCACAATTGATCCTTTGGAGAGCTGAATTTGTGTATAGTTGTTAAATAGTAGATAAATAACAATAATTTGACATTTCATATCTTGTATACCAACCCGCCGTGAAAAGGTTGTGGAAATCTGGTTGCGCCTGACGCTCACGACTGGCATCGTACTGTATATATACAACCACTGGCCCTGAAAGCAACTGGAAGTGTCCGGGGGAAATGTGAAAGTAGTACCGGAAACTCCTCGCGTAGTTCTAGGCGATATGATCCGCCGGGTGAACGCGAGAGCTGCTGGTGGAGAAGGAAGCTGCTGAATGCAGCGAGATCGGGGCGTTCCTGGGGTACACACGTGCAACTCACAAACATGCTCCAAACATAAAGAAACTTCCCCGCAGTGCACAATACACCTATACAAACAGAGAGAGCAAGGTATTTCCTCTGCCATCCATACGTAATATGGCGCATCTCAACCGCATCTTCTTATCCGTTCTTGTCACTACCTTCCAATTGGATGAATCAGAGAATTTGATGAATAATAGTTGGGGGAGAGGAACGAGAGGGGGAGACGTCGAAATTAAGCGTCCTATGCTCCGTATCAGTATCAGGTACGAACAATTTGAGTAGGGGTGGAAGAACGGGTTGACTACATGTAGCTGGGGCAGGAAGGCCGGGTTAGGACGAGTGAGCATGGGTGATGCTTGCAAGGGCTGTGGTCAACGACCTCTCTTCTGTCTTTCCTTCTCTCTAACATTGGTCTCAAGCACGAGTAAATGAATAAAAGGTTTCATCGTTTTCAACAAAAGAGTCAGCAGAATAAGAGCGAACCTAGGGCACTATATCCCTTAGAGCGACCAAGGCCGCTATAAACCAAAGATTTGTGGGGGGGGGGGGGTGGGAAGGAGGAGAAACAAACATAATAAGTGGGTAAGATGGTAACAATTGTTAGACTTATAAGTATCACCCGAACAATTAATCATATTGATAAACCAAATTCACGCCTCCAGAGCGGAAGTATGACACAACCGAAAAGCCTCATGGACCTGACGCAGTTCATCATGCAACCTCTTCGACCACTTTCCATCGATACAAAAACGACTAATAAAACTATCAAGCGTATCAAGACAAGACAAAAAATCAGAAAAAACACGACCACGTATATCTGCCAAACGAGCGTCTGCCGCCCGCAAGCTAGGATTCACATTTCTCAATTGAGCAAGCACAGTATCAACTTGAGACTGGAACTCCGTGGCCTCTCGAAGGGCCGCATCACGAGAATCGACAATAGATTTTGCCCTTTAGCGGAAAAAAAATTCCATCAGATTTCAATAAATCGAAAAAGGTTGCAAGCTAAAAAAATAAAAAAAGGCTCTAGACTAACCTTATAATTAGCTCCAACAAAGGAACACGTCCCTGGAGACCGGACGAATGCGGATCGCTGCCAGGAGGATCTCCAGGAGCCGAAGGACTATCCTTCCCCGGAGGTCCTGGAGCACCCGAAGCATCCGAAGTAACGCTTGCCAAGCTCTCCACACAGTTCCGGAGTTCTACCACCACCCCGTCCGATTGTTGGGGCGTCTTGATGTCCTCCTCCTCCACCTCCTCCTCCTCCTCCTCCTCCCGATTTGGCACCGACAGGACTAGCAGATGGCATTCCGCTTGAAGAAGATTGATCGCCCGAACCAACGGCTCCACCGGATGGTCCGGCAGGCCCACCAACGGGAGGATCCGTGTCACCACCCACTGTAGAACCTGCTTCGGTAGTTTCGCTAAGTTACAATGAGCCAAAAGAACATCCCGCGGGCAAAACAATTAAAAATTAAAAATTAAAAATTAAAAAAACTTACCCCCCGGGAAACAAGTGTCCGTGCAAGTATGGCCCTTAGGAGGGTAAACTCCCCGATGAACAGAATACATTCACACAAAAGAACAAGCATGTGTAGGAGTCCCATGAGGGGAGTACTGTCGCACAGCATACGTGACAGTAGGTTACTACGTATGTTACAACTGTGGACTTATGGCAACGGATAGGTGGCGTGACAACTTGTCCTATGCGTTGCTTCTGTATAAAGGTAGATGATCTAGTAACCTATCAATACATCATCGTTCACCTCTTTTCTAGACCAGTCGCTAGTGTTTTATGACAGACATCAGAATACGCAAGGCCTTACAGTACCCAGCGGGACATCTTAAACGAGAACATAAATGACCAGGAACTCCGTGAGGCCTAAACCGAACAGGCCAAAGCGAAGGATCATCATCATCTAAGAGGGCAGGCGACATATCGGTGCAGGAGGTGGGGTGGTGTTTGGGGAAATAGCCAGTGCTAAGCGATAATTCTGTAGCGTTTTAAACTGATGATATTGTAAACCGGATTCCCTTGACTTGATGATTGATGATACCCTCAAGTCTTCGCAGAATCAAGCCCTATTTATACATGTTGGAACCTATGCCAAGGCCCGCTCTCTAATACTAACTGATACAACGGTAATAGAATAAGATAACGCTCCCGAAGATAACCCAGATAGAAAAGCGCCCCCGCATAGTTCCGTCCTCCATTCTAATTCCGACACGTAACCATGAACCTTGCAATTGCCAGTCATCAGGTTGTACCATACTATTATCCTAGACCTACTTCTCTAAGTAGAACAGCCTACAGCCGTAAGCCCCGCTTCCTATTCTATTTCGGGTGAGACACCCAACAGTAAGCGTGCCGTCATAATAGTATGGGCCTAGCGTGGTGACACCGCGTGCCCCCACACTACCCGATACCTTTCTATGCTTGTCCTTCCGTTACCCGACCGGCCTTGCATCACAACCCGTCACTCGTATTTCTCACTGTCCTAAGCCTGTAGAACAGTGCTTCCGTAGTTCCTGTAACACTACTCCCCCTTCCTAGATGTCGCCCTCGACCGTTAAAACCCTTTCTATGATAAAAACCCTGTGGGAAAAGTCATAGAGTAGGGAAAGGTATCGAGCTTAGTCTCGCCTGTTCCGTTGTCGTTTATGAGCCCGGTCATTGTCGATCGCTGGGCCTTGACTTCGCGTATGGGGTCGTGTGTTCGAGGTTGGCTGGAAGTTCTCGTCTGCCAATGCCTCCTGTGGCTCGGGTGCTGCCAGTCGCTTTCGTGTATTCTGTTTTCTGGTGGGATCCGGGTCCTCACGATAGGGTCGCAGCAATATCTCGTGAAAGACGTCATGAACCTTCCATTCTACCGGAAGCTCAAGGCGGTAAGCCCGATTGCCCACCACTGCCGACACTGTGAATGGCCCTGTAAACCTGTCTGACCACTTGGAGTACCCTCCAAGGTTCCGAGTATCCAGCAAGACTCTCTGACCGATAGTGAACCGCTGTGCTGCCGGTCCTGGCTTTGACGCCATCCTGTCGAAAGTCTTCTGTAGCGTATCTCTCGCTAGCTTGTGAGTCGTGATGATCTCGTCCAAGTAGTTGTTCCCGTTGGCATCTAATCGTTCGATCTCTGCATCCGTAGGCCAGTCCGTTCGGGGGTGGAAGCCATAGTTGCAGTAGAACGGTGATTGCCCCGTCGACGTATGCTTCGCATTGTTGTAGGCGTATTCACAGATAGGTAACAGGTCCTTCCATTTCTTGCCTGTCCCTGCCGTATATGCCCGGAGATAACCTTCCATATGCTGGTTGGTTCGTTCTGTCTGGCCATCGGTCTGCGGGTGGAATGAGGTGGAGAGTCTCCTACGAATCCCCAATCTTTCCGTGATTGCCGTCCAGAATGCTGATACGAACTGTGTTCCTCTGTCCGAGACGATGCTCCTAGGAAGTCCGTGGAAACGCCAGATGTCTTTGACAAATGCGTTAGCGGTCTGTTCCGCATTGATTCCCGTCATTGGGATGAAGTGAGCCATCTTCGTAAAACGGTCCACGACTACCAATACGTTACCGAATCCTGATTTCTCCTTAGGTAATTCTACTACGAAGTCCATCGAGATATCAGTCCAAGGTGTGGTGGCTAACTCTAGGGGTTGAGGGAGTGACAAGTGTCTCCGACGTTGCTTGGCTGTCTGGCATACATCGCAAGTCTTGACGAAATTGGCTACATCCGTGGACATTCCTGGCCACCAGTAGTTCCTATCAATCAACTCGAGGGTTTTAACCCTTCCTAGATGCCCCGCTACGGGTCGATCATGATGTTCCTCAATGACCTGCTTGATCGCGTAGCCCGGTACTACCCATCGACCATCGTGGGTGGGGTCATTCGAATCGGGACTCCATTCAGCGGCAGGCTCTACTTTTACGATAGCAGCCTCCGGTGGTCCGAAGATCTCAAGGTTTGAATCAGGGAGGTGTTCATCCGGAACCATCCTCCGAACCCATCGTCTTTCCTGTTCATACCAACCCTGTAGTGGCTGAGGCAGCTCTACGCTTAGTATGTTGTACCACTGATCCAACTGATTCCATTCCTCGTCGGGTTTGCCAATCACTTCGGACCCAGTTTCTACGCTGGTCCGTGATTTTCTGACAAACTGTTCTGCGCTGAGTAGCTGTTTTACGGGCTGCTCACGCATTACTCCCCCTTCCATTGCGAACTCCGGACGCCTTGTAAGTGCATCTGGCTTCCGTTCTTTTCGCCTGGTCGGTAATGGATCTTGAAGCGAAAAGGTGCTATCTTCTCGGCCCATCTGGCTTGTCTTCTCGACAACTTCTTGGTCGTTGTGAAATACTGCAGGTTTTGGTGATCCGAATGTATCTGGATAGGGATGTCCGTCCCTTCCAGCCAATGTCTCCAAGTCAAGAGAGCAGAAACTATTGCGAGCATCTCCTTGTCGTAGATCTCATAGTTAACCTCTGCCTCGTTGAACTTGCGAGAGTGGTAAGCTACCGGATGTAGAATACCGTCCTCGAACACCTGAGAGAGTACTGCGGCCTCGGCCCAGTCACTCGCATCAGTCTCCACGATTGCTTCGCGGTGTTCGTCATAGTGTCGGAGTATTGGAGCAGACGTAAATCTCCTCTTGAGCTCGTCGAACGCATCCTGCTGTTCCCTGCCCCATTTCCATACGGAACCTTTCTTCAGGAGGTCGGTCATAGGTCTGCACACCTCAGAGTATCGGTGGATAAACCGTCTTAGGAAATTGGCGAACCCGAGAAAGCACTGAAGTTCCTTGACTTTGGTTGGAGCTAACCAACCTTCGATCGCCTGGACTTTCTTTGGTGATACTCGGTTCCCTTTTCCTGATAGTATAAATCCCAGGAATTCTACCTCCTGTTGATACCATTCCGTTTTCTCGAGGTTTCCGTATAGATGGTGTCGTCGCAGTCGCTCCAAAACTTCTCGTACAAGAGTCGTATTCTCTTCTCTAGTCTATGAATACATTAAGATGTCATCCAAGTAGACTACTACGCCCTGATCTAGAAGATCCTTGAATATGGTATTGACCATGACCTGAAACGACGCAGGAGCATTGGTCAAGCCGAAAGGCATTACCCTATATTCGAAGAGGCCGTATTTCGTTCGGAAAGCGGTTTTCCATTCTTCGCCCTTAGCAATCCTAATCAGATTATAGCCATTTTTCAGGTCTATCTTCGTGAAGTAGAGTGCTCCCTTCGTTGCGTCGGCCAGCTCGTTCATGTGTGGCAGTGGATAACGGTTCTTGATTGTGATTCCATTCAAGCCACGAAAGTCGACACATAACCGAAGCTTACCATTAGCTTTCGGAACGAACAGGACGGGTGCCGCTGCTGGGCTAGTGGAGGGGACTACTTTGCCGGAGGGCAAGTTCTCGTCCAAATACTCCCGGAGTGCCTTATCCTCAGGTGGGGAGAGCGAATAGATTGGTCCCCACGGCGGCTGCTTTCCTTCCATAAGAGGATGTTAAGGAAAATGGCTAGTGCTAAGCGATAATTCTGTAGCGTTTAAACTGATGATATTGTAAACCGGATTCCCTTGACTTGATGGTTGATGATACCCTCAAGTCTTCGCAGAATCAAGCCCTATTTATACATGTTGGAACCTATGCCAAGGCCCGCTTTCTAATACTAACTGACACAACAATAATAGAATAAGATAATACTCCCGAAGATAACCCAGATAGAAAAGTGCCCCCGCATAGTTCCGTTCTCCATTCTAATTCCGACACGTAACCATGAACCTTGCAATTGCCAGTCATCGGGCTGTACCATACTATTATCCTAGACCTACTTCTCTAAGTAGAACAGCCTACAGCCGTAAGCCCCGCTTCCTATTCTATTCCGGGTGAGACACCCAATAGTAAGCGTGCCGTCATAACAGTATAGTACTAGTGTGGTAACACCGCATGCCCCCACACTACCCGGTACCTTTCTATGCTTGTCCTTCCGTTACCCGACCGTCCTCGCATCACAATCCGTCACTCGTATTCCTCACTGTCTTAAGTATTTAGAGCAGTGTTCCGTAGTTCCTGTAACAGAGGAATGGTATGGTCCCATTCAGAGTGATCAGGTAGTCGAGCGGCTCCTTCCTTGGAGAATACGTCGGCATATTCCTGAAACTCCACCGGTATAGCACTAACGAGAGCCTCGTTTACCGATGCTCTTGCCCAGAAGGGGTGTTGCTCGATCGTCATTTGCTTCTTGGGTGACGCCCTCAACAGCCTGATGACCAGCTCTTCTGGGTCTTGGTCGTATATGTCTTCGACTGATACGAAACATCTATTGACTATACAGTTGTTACTATGGAAGCTAACACTGTTGCGTCCCCAATGGATGGTTGGTTGATGCTCCTTGAGCCATCGATGTGGTATGACGAGGTCTTCTCCTGCAAACGAGCCAACCTCACAGGTAATAGCCCTATCTAGGTGGTTGCCGATGCGGAGGGTAAGAGGTTGGGTGATGTGGGTGCCGGAGTTGGGCATAGGGGTACCATCGGCCTGTCTGATGATGAGAGGCTTTGGTCGAGGTTGAGTGG